GAGAGAGAGAGAGAGAGAGAGAGAGAGAGAGAGAGAGAGAGAGAGAGAGAGAGAGAGAGAGAGAGAGAAATAGCGTAGTGTGCACAGTGGACTCGCTATAGCAGAATAAGGTCTTCTCGCTCTGCAGACTGCACGGAAGGGGGAGGCTCATTCCAGTCTCAGCAGTCTCTCCCAGTCACTTATTGCCCGTATAACTCCAATGGCTGTGCCAAGTGTTCTGGAGACAGATCGCCGCCAGCCCGGGGTTCCATCAAATGATCAGAGGGCACATATCGATCACACTTGGTGGGAAACAATCGAGCAGAAGTTATACCAGGGTGGCGGTGGTCATCCAAATGCTGCACAATGCCTGCAACGTGCGTCTGGTGGACACGCACGCCCATAGCACAGTAAAATTCCTTGCTGCATTGTAGACACCGGACTCAATATGTGGTCTTCCTGGTGGACATGTATTGGGGGTGACAGCTTGGTTCCCTAATGTTTTCAACATGGCTGCACAGGACGTCTCTCACTCCCGCCAATGTGCTCTTCCTGGCTCGCAGTGTGGGACACGGCAGTGGAGATGAGGATCATCTGCACAGGCAATGGCCGGCTTGACATGCCGGTGACAACAATGGCGAAGGCGAGGAGGAGGGAGATGAAGGGGAAGCACTAGCCGAAGACGCGGTGGTGTAACAGAAGACGCACGAGAGGCGGCCGCTGGTGGTGGTGGGGAGAATCAGTGGGGAAAGGGACTGCAAGGGACTAGCCATCTGCTCAGCTTGACCGCTCAGGTCTCGTTCTTGTAAGTCACCTGCAGGATTGGGCTGCAGTCGTTCAGTTCAAGGCAGCACACATTATGTGGCAGCAACAGCAGTAGGATGCTGGTAATCATTCCCTGCAGCCACTTTGACAACATGCGCTCTGTCCTTGTGTTCTGTATTTGCTAAACAGAACACCGTGAAAAAAGGGTGACTGTATCATCCGACTTTCACCAACCCACCAGTAGGTCGTACCTCAACAGTCTCCCCAGGATGCACTTCACTGATCGATAAGGACTCCCCACCTTGTCCAAACTTACCTATAATCTTTAGAAATGCGGTCACCTTACTCACACCAAGCATCCAGTCCTAGCAGACTGTCTAGCTCAAACCCCTGACAACAAAGTCAGCAAATCTGGGAAACTGGTACATCACAGATATAAAACCCACTATCAGCAAATAGCAACCACTGTCACAGCCACTAGTGTGCGTGTTGTGTGTGTGCGCTCCCCATACACAGACAAACTCGCATCTACACGCACAAATTCCTTCGTTTCAATACCCCAAACTTTTCTCACAAGCATCACACTGACAATCTCACCGTCTCTCTCTCTCTCTCTCTCTCTCTCTCTCTCTCTCTTGCCCTTGGACTGAATCTTACCTTGATGTCCTTGCCAGTGACTTTCTTGCATGCCTCCACGAACTCCCGGACAGAATATCCTGTATTGGTTGAAATGAAAAGTCGCAGCAGAAGTTATCATACAATTTGTAAGACAGACAAGCCGAGCCCATGCAAGTCAATATGCAAAGTTCAGATAGAAGCGCATGTCAGACACCTGAGTAACCTGCGAAAGGTGAGAACATCACAGAGAAGCAGGGGGAATTCCACTTTCAGCTAACTGCTTCAGCGGATGAAAGTAGACTCGGACATCTTATTGCAATCAACAGAATGCGTACCACATTCTTACGTCAGGAAAGAGACAGGGGCTAGAACCTCAGAATTACAGACAAGGTCGAGAAAGGAAAGAAAAAGAAGAATCAGGAAAGGAGAAGAAGAGGAATGGCCAGACGGAAAGCGAAGACGGATGTTTAAGACACCATTTTCCATTTCCCTACATTCCTGATAGAAATTGTCAATGCATGCAAGTAATGCAGGAAATGTGTCTCCTCACTTTTTTTCTTACTTTACGTTTCCCTATCTTGTTAAAGAAAAGAGAGCGGGTCCCGCGTGACGACTCAAATTATTGGACCTGTTATGGATATTTCTTTCTTGCCAGGACAAATGCCTAATATTTATAACTGTTTGACTGTCAAAGGTAAAAATGCTTCAGGGGATTTCATAGACGTAACTTGTGAAGTGCCTCGCCCAAGAGTTGGGAGACGTCACAGCTGAGGTGCAGGCCCGAAGCAAAGGAAAAAGAAAAGTGGTGGAAAGTCGCGGGTCTGGAAACATCGTGGGGCCGGGGCGGGCCCTATATGACCGCAGGTGAATGGGAGCAATCGCAAGGCTTGAAGTCCCACCATTATCGCACCATATGGTGGTGAGAGATTCATTCTCATTTTGCACACTGGCATCCCCTTCTTCGTCTTTTTTTGTTGTTGTTTTTTTCTCTTTCTCACTGCATAGAATAGCCTGATAGGAGCGACTGTGAGGATCGGTGTGCCACCGAAGTATGCCCTGAGGCGGTGGTGCAATGGGTGGTTTCCTGGTTTTAGGGCATTGCTCCACTACTCACCACATGCACAAAAGACAAAAACTACGGTGGAGCATCTTCCCATGTTCTAGCAGACCATTCATTCTCCTTTCGCACATTTGGTGAGCAGTGGAGCGAGGCCCCTGTCATGTTTTTTTTTTTTTTTTTTGGTCGTTTTTTTCTTGTCTGTTTGTTGAGTTTCAGAACTCGAACCTGTATGTGTCCAGAGAGCGTACAAAATGTGGAAAATGAGAATAAATCTTCTGCTAGAACATGGGCAGACACACTGCTATAGTTTTTGTCTTTTACCTCCTTGTGCAGAGGTCATGCTAATCTTCCCCTTGTCAGGGCATGTCGTGAGCGTGAAGAAATCCTGGTATGAGTATGCCAGCCTGGATCAGGGCATACTCGCACTAGGACGTTTACTACAAAGCTCTAGACGTGATTGCGGCGAGGTTCACCCAGCTCTGGCTGTGATCGCAATTGGATGCATTTAGAAAAAAGATAGGGTGAGTATCCCCTCAGTTGGTACTCCCCACGAACCATTGAACTCATACTCGCGGCGCACTTCTGCGGTGCGCCGTGCAGTGCCCCATGCGCAAATTAGTGCTGCGCAGCCTGCGCTCAATTTTATTTTTTTTGGGTGTGTGTGTGTTTGTATACAGGGGAGAGAGAGAGAGAGAGAGAGAGAGAGAGAGAGAGAGAGAGAGAGAGAGAGCAAAGGACCCCTTTCACACACATCAGAGGGCCCCTGCAGATAATCTGAAGGGTCCTCGCAGCAAATTTGCGTAGACCCTCCACCAAATCGAGGCAGGCGTTAAGTATGGAGAAGAGCAGGAGTTGGTCGAATATATACTCTGGATTTGAATTCAGGTCTTTGTTTCAGCAGTTATGGGTTGCTCACTTAGCTAGGCCCTGCTGGTCTCTGCACGTGATTCTCAGGGCTTGGCTGTACTACTCACCAAATGTGCAAAATTAGAATGAATCTTCTGCTAGAACATGGAACCATACGCCGCCATATGTTTTGTCTTTTGTGCATGTGGTGAGTAGAGGCCCTAAGGGCCACTGCCCATATTCCTAAGAAAAGGAAAACGAAAAAAAAACAGAGAATCACGTGCAGAGAGCAACAGGGCATAGCTGAGTTAGTGACCCATAACCGCTGATACACAGACCTGAATTTGAATCCAGACCTATGCTACCAGCCGGGCCGCCCGGGTTCCGGGTGGCCAGCCCGTGCAAGGACCAGGGAAGGTCCCAG